GTTAATTCCAGGTAAAAAGCTTTGAAATATTCCCTTAGGAAGGGACGCTGATAAATTTAAAAACAAATTTTTATCGTTTTATAGGATTTTTTTACATCAGCTAAATTAGAAAGGGAAACCAGCCGGCCCTTTGCATGATTTATTTTGAAAAACCCACCCCTACAAATTTTTCCCTACCGGGGGGCGGGTTTTTTGGGGTTTTTAAAAGTAACCCCTTCCGGATATCACTTTTAAAAGGTCAGTTATGTTTTTTTTGGGTGAAAAAAAACAACCCCCGTCCCGATTTAAAGGCACCCCGGGGGCCCACCCGGCCGGTTTCCGTTTGTGTAAAATGGACACTAAGAAAACAGGCCGATTTATGAACGGGAGGTCTTTCGTTTTTTTCCCTGACCGAACAGCTTGGTTTTTTTAAATTTGGCGGTTTGAGTTTTTTGTAATTGCCAAAAAACCCAAAATTTGTGTTTTCCCTTTAATTAAACAAAAAATTTTCCTTTCTACCTCTTCTACAAATTTTTGGGTTAACTAAAAAACAAAAATTTTTGGCAAGAGGGTCAGCAAAAGGGGGCATGAGAAAGTTTTGGGGAAAAAGGGCCCTTGCCTTTTTTCATTGTCCCGTGAATTTGAAAATTAAACTGAAATGTAAACCCCCTTTGCGGCAAACCGTCCGACCCATTTATGATGGGGTAGGCGTTACCCCGGCCCCCTGACCTTTGGGGCCCTTTTTTCCCACGTGTTTTTTGGGTAAAAAGGCAAAAAAATGGGGGACAATAACTGGAATTTTGGCATTTTTTCTGACCTCCGCAGGTGAAACTTTTTAAAAACCTTGGTTTTCCCCTTTAAGTAAACACCCCGAAGTTTAGCCCCAAAAAAATATTTTTCCTGTTTTCTGGAAAACATTTACGGGAAACAGAGGTAAAACAATTTTACTTTTGATAAAAAACCAGAGTTAAAAAAAAACTGCAATTTCCCATACAGAATAAAAAAGCCATTTTTTATACTTTTTAATTTTTTTTCATATCACCATGATTAAGAAAGGCTAAGGGTCATAAGTTTACACAGGGGGACACCCGTCCCTTGTTTTTTCAATCAAAAATTTTCAATGCCCTTGTCCCCTAAATTTGCTGGGGGTTAAAATCGGGGTTAAAGTTTACTGTAAAGTATTTTATGAGAGGCAATTTTCCCAAAAGCCCCCTTTACGAGTTGTTTTTTTTTTTAGAGAAAGTTTGGGTGTCCCAAAAAATAAAAAAAGAAAGGGGCGCCAAAAAGTCTTTCCCCAAATCCCACGTAAAGGGTAGAAGGGTCGCAACTACGTTTTTGAGTTTTGGAAACGCGTAAAACCCCCAAACCCAAAATGGGTTAAATTAACATGAAATGTATTTTTAAAACCCCTTATTATAAATTGTTTATCACTATAAATTCTACCCTCCGTTTCTTTTTTAAAAAGGACGTTTTTTTTACATTTTAAAGTGAAACTAAAACTATTTGAATCTTTATGCTATTTTTTATCTTATTATTTTTTAACCCCGGGAAAAATTTTGATTTTAATATACATTGGGAAATTTAAAATAAAATTTTAAATACTAATCCCCAAGATATAAAATCTTTTTTAACTTTCTTCAATTTACCCCAAAAATCGTAATTTTTAAAACCTTCTAAAAATAGTATTCCCATTGAAAATTTAAATAAAGACATTTTTTTAAAACAAAATTTTCCCACAAAACTGCATAGAAAAGAACGGTTTCCCTACTAATACCCTATAAACTATTTTTCACGTTTTTTAATTCAATGACACCCCAATATAAAAGAAAAACATTTTTAAAATTAAACAATTTCCAAGTGTGGGGTAAAAATTAAATGCATTCAAAACCAAGAAAGCCCTAATTTTAAACAAAAAAATTTACCCTTAAAAATGATGTCATAGAGAAAATTACAAAAGGATTTAGGAATAAACACCCAAAAATTTGATAAATTAAAAATAAGTAAATAGTCGAACCTTTCCTTCCCAATCTCATTTTTTTTTGCTTATCAAAAGAACTCCCCATAAACTAAAGGGTTTAAAGGAAATAAACAAGGACCCCGAAAAAATACCTTTGTAAAAAAAATGCAATGACCCCCATGAAAGTCTTCCTAGTTAAAACGGTCATATGTTAATTTTATGTATTGAAAATCTCTCCTTAAGTTCTTGTTAGATCTTTGGGTTACCTTTCAATTTCATTTTGTCGGGTATTATTTTCATAATTAGTGAGACGGATTTTTGGGAAAATGTCTAAAAGGCAAATTTCCAGTTTTCTAAAAAAGGGATTTTAAAGCAAAAAAGTATTTTAAAAAATGATTATTTTCGGTTTTATATTGCTTGGGGGCAGTGTTGAAAAACACACCGGTAAATTTTCCCCAAGGAATTTAAAATCAGTATTGTATAATCATATGTGACTATTTTTTTTTAAATATCTGGGCAAAAATTGAGAGGGCCAACACCTACAAAGATCGATGGTTCCTTTTGATGTGTTTTTGATAGTATCCCTTTTAGATGTAAAAGAATATGCGATATTTTTATTTAAAACAGAACAAAAATAAGGGCAATATTACACGTGCTAATAACTAACCAAAAGCCCGCAGAAACCATTTCATTTTATATAAATTAAATGATTAATTTTCCAAGCAAAATAAAAAAGGGGAAATGGTAACATGGTCTGTGCAACGACTCAATTCAGAGGAATAATAGTAATGATAATAAACAAATAAAAACCCCTCATGCTCAGTCGAAAAATGAAAATAATAATGATGAAGAAGATAAAGACGCGATGATGATGATGATGATGATGATGATGATGATAATAATAATAATAATAATAATAATAATAATAATAGCAAAACAGAACGTAAGTTCGATTATATTATTTATTTTGTGCCGTAATGTTAATCTTTATGATATTCTAATGTTCTTATGTTAGATAAGAAATAAATATATTTCTGTCGGATAATAATCTATATGTTATATCATAGACTGGGTTATTAGGCTTTGATCAAAACATGGTCATTTGATGGCCGAGACTCATTCCAAAGAATACTTAAGTACCACTATTCCTGCATAAACTTAAATCCTATAGAAACGTATTGAGCGGACTTTCTTAATCTCCAATAAGCAATCACAGGATTCCTTTAACAAAGATTTATAGATTTTAATTCCCGGGATGCCCGTTCGGCTCCATACCCCGGTTTTTGTTGTCTTTTTTTTATTAACCGGCCAAAAAATTTTGGGAATAAAGGGTCATGCCTCCACCTTTTTACAAAATTCTGAAAATTCAAAATATTCCATATGCAAAAGAATAGATAAGGAAACTAACACAAATTTTTAAAACCTCAAAAATCATCTTTCAAAAATTTCATTTAATTTTGTTCCCCCCTTGTTTCTCGATGGGAACGCATTTTTTTTTTCTTGGGACCATACCGCTTTTCAATGGAAAAGCACTAAGTGTCACATTGAAGGTTTCCATGAAACCCCCATATGAAACCCATCTGGGTTTTAAAATTTTATTTACCCTTTCAAGTTAAATTTTGAATTTTGCTTAAACCGGTTAGGGGGGGGGTGTAATTGCACTTTCCAGTACTCCATGAACAGGCTCAATCAAACCGAGCCTGCAAAATTTTTAATTTTGCCGCGTTGAGCTTTCTTTAGGGATTCTTATTTCAATCTATTTTACCGACTTTGATATCAGATGAATAAGAACTTTTTGAACATTCTTTGATATCATCCTTTTTCAAGCAAATCATGACTAAGATATTAATAGAGGATGGTCATACATGATTAAATTGTAACAAGCTTGGTAATGATTCATACAAATGTTCAATTAGAGAAATTGAAAAATTATATGAGTCTTACAAACTCTGATTTTGAACATATCTTTTTTAGCTCAGTTGTAATGAAAGCTTGATATTTTCTTGTACCACTTTGATGTCAGCATGAAATATATAACAAAGCATGATATGCCTTCATCACGATTCGTTCTGACTATTCCTGGGTTGAGAGCAAAGCTTTTTTAAGCCACCGTTTCCTTTCAGAATTTTATTACGCTTATATAATAGCATTACAGCCAGATTTTTACATGATATGTTTTTTTTCTTCAAAATTTCTAAAGTGGATCATCCAAGGAAGTAAGATTAAGATTTTACGTTAGATATGAAATGCAGTTATTTCAGGCGGGTGATTTTAGACTTGTTTGTTGGGCTTTGATATACGGCTTGGTCATAAGTTTAATTGGAGCTTAGTTTAAACAATATCATATATTTCCATATCTACATTGAATTTCTACTTTCCCCAGTGATTACATAATTTTACGTCTGCACTGACCCGGAATAGAGTATTGAATGTGTTCTCCAGTCTTGGTGTCTTTTTTTAAACATGGCCACAAAAAGTACAATGATGGTTCTTTTCTCTCGTTTCTTTTTTCCTCTTATTGCAACCAGATATTTCTACATGAGATATCTTTTAATAGTTCAAAATTGAATCATTCTAAGAATTTCATGATATCGCCGATGTGGTGCAATTAGACCTTTTTCGTGTAAACTTGATTATTGGCAAACGGACAAAGGACAGTGTATAATCATAAGAGGAGAATGAGCTCTAAAAGGATTAAACAAAGAATAAACGAACTAATTAAACATAAACGTAAGGTTAATCAGTGTATGTTTATAAACTTTATACGTGTAGTTTAAAGTTTATATCTGAATAAAATTATGAAAATGTATTTTTATCCATGCTGACTATATTAATGTATTTACCCAAAGAAAAATAATAAAATATCATTAATTTAAGATTTGAATATTTGCTTAAACCTTATGTTTTGATTCTGACATTTTTTTTTATCTAATCTAAATCGATGTAGAATTGGCCTCAAAGAACAAACCAATACTTGTGTCATATGAGGAAACATTGTCGTAACACTAGTACAATTCCAACTCGGTTGAATGGTAGAGAAAAAAACAACAAACTTCATTTTTGTTTTCCACACACACGCATATTTTATTTCCATAGTCTGATTATTAAGTAGAGAGGCTAGCTATATTTTTATATTCCTTGACAAAAAAGTCTATCTCAATAATTGTTGATTTATGCTCTCAAGTAAACTATAAAAAGAAAAAGTGAACTCAAAATTGAAAACTAAGAGATAAAATATTACGATAATAAATGTTATTTAAAGCAACAAATATCTTAATAATGTATATGTTTGAAGTATTCTTATGTCATGAATTAAAATTTCTATCATACCTTTACTTTAATATTAGAAAAAAGTCAACAACAGATATTTTAAAAGGGCATGATTGACTGCCGATCTGTATAAAAGCATGTAGAGCGATTATGTGATTGCTATTTAAATGTTTCAAACAATCTTTTCTGATTAACGTACAATATTATTTTAACTAACAAGCATTTACTATCAACCTTAAAAAAGTAACTGCAAATGTCTCACAGAAACTTATTATTTGTGTTAATTGGAAATAACTATTCTTGTACAAACCAGACCAAACAGAATGTGTTAGATCCCACTCATTTGTAATCAGATATGATTTATTTCCTGGTTTAAACAAGACCACATTTACAGCAAATATAAACAATACAAACAAGAAATATGAAAAAATAAATGTCTTTGAACGCAAATTATATGTTTTTGATATCCGTAAACATTTACCATCCTACATCCATGTTTGACCGACTGCATGTTGACATGATTTTTGTTTATTTCTATAATTAAATGTTAGCTGCAGAAAAAAGTAATATTGTTCATTGCATCGAACAAAATATAACAAATATTTTGGTGAACATGCAGATAAAGGCATTCTCCAATTAAATTCAAAGCAATTACTTCTAAAATTTCACATTCATTTTGTAATATTTTATCGGGTTTTTGTTTTTACTAATCTATTTTAATAAATTCACAATATTACTGACACATTACACATATCTTTGTAGACGGTACATACGCTTGGAAATGTGCATGCATCACTTGTAAAAAGGAAATAAAAGTAACCAACAAGTTTAAAGATATAATTTCTTTTCCTTAAAAATCAATTATTCGTAGATATAAAATATTAAAGACTGTCTTTAAAATATGATAGATAATCGAGTCATTGGATCAACAATACTCCTGATTAATTAGGTTGATGCATAAACAACACAAAACATAAGTGCTAATTAGAAATCGCCCATACAAACAGAAATAAAATCAATTTAAATCACTATTTTAACTTAAATCCACTGTTCAGTCAAACCAATTTGGAACGGAAAATAATGACTAATGTTCTAATATAACAAAAAATACATTTAAGGTTTGCATTCTAATTAAAGTACAATTTAGCAATGATCATACATCAAAAATATACATGTAATATATTGATTTCAACCCAATTTAACAAACATCAATATGCATAATACCAGTGAATTACAATTAAAAAATAAATATTTTCAAAATTTAAATCCAGTTCAATAGTAATATCTTATCTATATTAGTAATACATTATGCTGTTCTTATCATATACGAGTATTACGTGTCGATCATATTAAATCTGTTTCAGTATGAAAATCTTCATAATCATTCGAATTGGTTATAAAATTTATTGGAATCGACCGTAATAGACAATACTGTATCTCAATTTGCCATAAAGCATCATCTTTATTTATATAAAATAATGTGTGCATTATTTCTACCATTCATTTAATGCACAACAACCTCATTTGCAAATGCAAGTTATTCATAATGCACAGTAAAGGTTTGCAAAACAACGTACAGAAATGTGATCAAAACCCCAAAATATGCTAATTTGTCGTTTTGGTATATAAAATAATTATATAGAAGAAAAATATACCAGATAATAAACCCAAGTAGAAAGTAAAAATCTTTGGAAGTTAGTATCTAATGTTGTATGCATAATGTTAAAGTCATATCTTAAGCAGGATTTAATGTAACCATAGTAAGCAAAACCTTTAAATCGATGCAAACATATATCTTGAATTTGAAACTGAAATCAATTTCATTTACCATACAATTCCTGCTAGCATATTTTAATGTCATCTAGTACATACATTTTAAAAAGAGAAAGTAATAGGCACTGCGTGACAGACATCAACAAACAAAATAAGTAGAAGAAACAAAACATAAAAAGGAATTACGCAGTAAATAAATTTTCTATTACACATTCCTTTGGTACTATAGATAGGACACAATAAGAACAAGAAATAAAACATAAGAAAGAAATTAAGCAGTAAATAAACTTTTTATTTCACATTCCTTTGGTTTTATAGTTAGTAAACAATACCTTTTATTCATGCGTTATTCTATCTCTTTTGTAAAAAATGTCCATTAGGAAGTGTCATTTAACTGTTCTATTTCTGTCGTTTCAAATAAATAATGATCTTTAAAAAAGCTTAACATGAAAAATAACTTCAAGCAGAATAAATTGACATCTCTGTTATTTTTTGCAAAGGATCTGATTACAAATTGCTACGACAAATGCATGTAATCGTTTATAGCATTCAAAAATAATTGACTAAAATAGTTTTTTTTTAATAAACCACTTCGTGTTTCAAAAACAGTCACGCATATAAGCCGTTGGTGCTATATGCATATCCTTACCAAGATCTCAAAGCAAAAGCCACGCCTTCACCACGCCCCTCTATTTGCTCATCATTTGATTCATGATGTTATTTGCTATTTAATACGTACACTAATCATATTCCGTTTGACAGAATATCACTCTCGCTTTAATAAATGCAAGCTAGTTAATATTCAGAATTTAAAATAATACTTTTTGAAGTTTTGCATTAGATCGTTTTTGCATCTCATGCACGAAATTGTAAACAATTCTTTTAGAAAGTTGGATTATTAAATTGTTATTGTCCTATATCAATTATATATGATGAACGAAATTAAGACGCCAACAGAATCACCGAATAGTTTTAAAACAATTCATGTGACTCGCCATTCCTGGAAGTAACAATAACAGATATTGTGGATATTGTATGATTGAAACAAGTCTAAGTCATTCATTTGACATGTTCTTTAACATTTCCAGTGTTCGCTGTTACAACCATTGTGAAATCTTAACCCGAGTTGGTCTTGTTCGAAAACCACCATTTTATTCTTTATTAGGAGAAGAGTTTTGTTCTTGTGTCTGCCTAGTATATTTAATTTTCAGGACATTTATAGAATGATGAATGGAAATTTCATAAAGATGTTATGAAAAGTTTGCCTGTGTCTCACTTTAAGTTAATTTTCTGTTATTTTCTGTAAATGCATATCAGTTACTGAAAATACATTTTTGCATATACTAATTCCTTTACTGAATATCTAGCGTCATTAAAAACAGAAAAATACATGAAAATTGCAGATTTTATTTGATTGAGACTGTACATGAGGGATAACGAAAAGATGCAACACGTCACGTTCCCTAGCACCGGCCTTAGCGGTACTTAATTCACTTCAAAGTGCTGGAAAAAACACAATGATCCCAAAGGACCAGAAAAATTAATCAACACTCTAGTGATGTACGGGGCAACTTTTTTTACAATTATTATTGTCTTCATGTTACAATTTTTATTGTCTACATGTTGTTAAGATAATGATATTTTCTATGACAAGAAACATGATTAAATTTTAATTTGTCGAACTATCTATCTTTTTGCATAATAAAGTTTATTAGATTTCTATAATATTTAATATTTTCTAACATAATTTTAGGCGTTCAGGGGTTGGTTTCTTTCAAATGCTTTTTTATAATTGAAGCTTTTCACTGAGAATATATTTATGGAGACTCTCTTTCGCTTCTAATTTTGTTTTTTTGTTCTCTGTTGGGGTAATGTCTTGAAACTTATAAAGATAGAGCTTTTCAAAATCTCCTTTGTATGTAATTTCAAACCATATTTAGAATTGGCATGCAAAATAAGACGTCAGTGATAGTCCCAATCTGAAAGAGGTATATTCTGTAATCTATTATAATGAATTTTACAACATTATTCTCGTTTTCCACTATTGAAAATATAATTGAAAATAAAGCACATATGTATTGTGCTTGATTGAATATCAAACGCTTACGATTCTATGCATGCTATATTCGATGTTCCGGTACAGACACCTTGTAGCATGGGGGACGATGTTGTATACTGTAGTGTGTGGATCAGTCATGGTCCTGATTTTTTGCATAGTTTTCCGAACAAAATACACTGTCTCCTTAACACCCAAGTTACACAGAGGCATCGGTGATTGATCGGTAGTTTTTTTAGCCAAACTATGGAGTGAACCGATGATAACGTATTTAACACCGATATCACCTATTGGTCACCTGTTTTTCACATATCAACTGCTATTGGGGAAAGATAAGTTTTATCGGTGAAACATTACCGATTGGGATTTTAAAACATGTTTAAAATTCTCGATCGGTAAAAATATTTTACAAATAACCGACAGCAACCTATATCACGAAATATGCAAGCTCTAAATCACCGTTATCACCGATCGGACAAAGATAACCAAATATGAATCACCTGCCATATCTGACGGAAAGTGGTTAACCACTGATGACTAGCTATCAAACACCGATTAATCAGCATTACGCCCGGATGTGCTCCGATTTACAAACGATAAAAACCGATAGTATTTCAGCATTTTTATCACCGTTTGAGTTTGCTTTCTGTCACCGATTACCGTTTACACAGAAAACCAGAAATAAAATCACGTATGACAACCGATCACAACAGCGAGTAAATTTAAAATTAAATGACCGAGTGGGGACCGACCGTCTGTGTAACTGGCACCCCCATATTATTTAAAATATGTGACATAGGGTAATAACCTGTCCATGCTTTTGTATGACTCTCTTATGATTTAAACTTCAATACAAGTTTCTCTTAAGAATTGCACAACCTTTCTAACATTGTTTGTAGTCATGTTTTCGAAATTTTATATATTATTATATATGATGTTTCTTTCCTTAGGTTCCAAAAACTTTCAGATGGAATGGAAACATTAAATGATTTAATTAAATTTTGGAAAGATAATATACACATATCTATCGAGGTTGAAGATTTCCTCTCATAATCTGTTAAGACACCATTAACGCAATTGCAGATACGTTTTAACAAGTTTTTAAGTAACGATGGCGAAGCACTTGCAACGACCTGAAACTCTGTCTCAAACAGAAAATTATTAGCCTTTTAGTTACCCATAAAGCAGCATAACTATGTGGATCAACTATATATGTCACGAAATTTTCAAAATTGCTTTCGTTCAAAAGATATGTGCATACTGCAATTAAAACTTTGTTCTGAACGTTCGAAAGGAGAGAGACAGTATGCTTCCAGTTACTTAATTCGGCAGATTTTAAAAGCCTTCTATCAAATGAGAAAATAGTTTAGCGACTTAATCTCCAAAAAGGTGGCATTTTAAATGAGCCTCGAAATATATCTTCTGTTGAACTCTGTATCTTTCCAGAAAGGCAGCAGTTTCATGGGTTTTAAAGTACTTTTCATTATGACTTTCGAAAATTGGATGAGCATGCCTGCTAACATGTACTAAAATTTTTACATAAAAAGACACTTTAAAAAAGTAGTTACTGTCTCCCGATTCGATAGTTTGTATACTAGAATCTAGCTCATGCATTAATCTAATTACAGACATTTCTGTTACTTCATCATTATTTTGACAAAGTGCTTTTATTTTGACATCAACTGATTCGAATATTTTGTTAACTCTGGTTCCGACATATTTCAGTGTATCAGAAAAGTCGAACCATGATTTACCCATCTGTAATATATTGATGCGTATGTCCGTTTCATTTATTCCCGTTTCATTAAATGATTTGGCTAACTGTTTAACATTTGATAATGGCGTCAAAAAATCGGTTTCTTTCAAAGCTTGCTTAAGCAAAACAAAATTTTTGTTAAAAATAGTCTCAAGGCATGTCAGAAAAATATTTTTCATTTTCTTTCTGTGCCTTTCCGTTCCTGTAAAAGAAATATCAGCCTTGATAAGAAATTCCTTCCATATGACTCCAAAAAGCTCATCAGTCTTCTCGCTATTTAGTTCCTGACCTTTGAGAGTATTTGCAACTTCCATAGATCTTTTTCGTAGTTCCTCTTCGTGCTTCCCTCGACAATGTATTATCATAATTTCTAATGATCTTTTTACTCGGCTTTTTTCGACATGTTCTTTGATGATGTGTTGAAACTCTTCAAATAACATGTGCACACGGATTTGCTGGCTTCTTTTCCATTGAATATCAACATCTTTATATTTATTTCCCTCAAAATAATTTTGAATATTTTCTTCAGTTTTAATTTTTTCATTTAAAAGGATTTCATAAAGCTCGCTTATAAGATTGTCTGCCAAGTTTCGCAATTTTTCCGTTCGAGCAGCAAAGCTGTTTTGTGTAATTTTTGTTAATTTGTCATGAATAAGGCTTTCAAATCGCCAAAGTTCAACTTGAACAACACTGTCCATTTCCATGTATGCTTTCATTGCACGACTATTTCTAAAGGAAAAACTGAAATCTTCATTGGAAACACCTTTCCAAATATCACGTGCTTGCTCAACTATATCTGTCAATGGTTTGTAGGATTTATCCTTCATAGTCAAAGCTCTTTTCAAGATCTTGCACTTTATATCAACTACACTTTCACTGTATTCATTATGAACTCTAGCCATCGGTGGATTTCCTTGCCTTAAATTATTCAGGTACCACACTTGCGAGTTTATGTCAAAATCAATTACTTCGTTAAATGTTGTGATGTCAAGAATTCCCTGACTTCTCGCCGACTCTTTTGTAATTTCATTAAGAGTATGCATTAATTTGCTAATACCACCTATCATACCTCTTGCGGACGTATCAGGTACATTTTGATGAATAAATGCAAAACTTTTTCTTATATCTAATTTTTCATTTCTTATTTTCAATCGTAGAAAGGTTTGCACAATAACTTGAAGAATATCCCTTATTTCGCTTGTATTTTCTCCCATTATATTAACCATTGTAATGTCTCCTACACCAATAATAATGGTAGCCAATTCATTATCATGTTCATGCTGCAGATGACTTAACTCAGAAGACTTCAGACCTTCTGTGTCAACAATAAGTACATAGCTAAACACCGAAACGGTTTCTCCCAAATGTGTACTTTTCGTAGGAATTAGCTGGACATGTATTCCCCTAGTACACCTATCGGTTCTTGAAGAAAATTTTGATCCAAACATCGTGTTCAAAAGAGTTGATTTTCCGGAATTTTGCAGACCTAAAACGCTGAGTGTTAACACTTTACTAGATCCGATACATACATCAACATTTTTGAAGACAGCTTTTATCCATTGATAAGGCATGTAAAAGCTCTCACTCTCTATTAGATCGAAATGGTGTCCATCAAGAAGGAGACGACTGACAATATTAGACATCATGTGTAAAGATGGTAATCCGAATTTGGTTGTATCTTCTTTGAGTTCTAAAATGGCATCATTTATATGACCAATTTCACGAAAAAAATGTTGAACTGTAAATGATGCTTCGTCATTTGTTTCTTCAAAATCTGCAATGGCAGTATCCTGTAATATTTGGCGTTTTTCTCTTTCAATATGAAAATGTAACCAGGAAAGAAAATATTTAAGAATTAAATGGCAATTGTTGTTTTTTATAAGAATGTGGAGAAAAAGTTTAACAGACTTAGTTATCGATGCAAGTTGTTGTCGTCTCACTGTTATGATTTTTACATTTATTTTCTCTCCTTCTAAAAAACATTTTTCTCTTTCTCTTTCTTTTAATAACTTTCCTAATTCCTTTGATAAGTTACTATGGACTGGTGTCAAGTGTTGTTTCCAAACATTTGGCTCACCGTCAGCTTTCATTTGTTTAACGAGTTTAGTAGCTTCAAGCTTGCCTTGTTGACAGATGTCATCTTCTTCGTCGGTTTTTATTGTTGTTAATTTTGCTTGTGATAATCGTTCTTCAAAGGACATTGTTTTAATTATTTTAAGCTGATCTGATATATTATTTGTTATGCCTGATAAGATGTTTACGACATTCTGCTCAACAGTGCCTTTGTGTGTACTCAAAATTCGTAAACTGATTTCTGATTTTAATGAAATGACACCACTTTGAAATTTCTTGACGAATCTAACTGCATCAAGGTTAAATGGGCCCGCAAATATCAAAATAACTGAGGAAAATTGAAGAAGAACATCCTCAACCTTCTTACTTTGGTTCAAAACCATGTCTAAATCAACGATCATTACAATTGAATCTATAAAGTTTGCTATGAAGTACAAACTATCTGTGCTAAAATGTCTGCAAAGATCTCCCCTCAAGTTAAAAAATGTCATTGCATCTAGAAATCTATCTTTTTTTCATCGGTGGTTGGTAACCAAAACATCTCTATATGTCCATTACTTAATTTTCTTGGAGTCATCCCAGAGGGACAGTCAATATTAAAAAATGTCTTACACCCTTGAACAAAAAGAAGACTATTGATTAGTTTAGATTTCGAATAGTGAGGGCGACCTAGCCTTCCAAACGCTACCAACTTTGTTTGCATACTAAGGACATCAGTTTCCCTACTCTGTTTTTATTTATATTGGTAAATGTCTGATTACTCTCTATGGCTAGAGACCGCAACGGCCAAACAGAAATTACTGGAGTTTGCTTCCCACGTGTTCCCCAATACATAAAAGGGACAGCCAGTTTACACAGATATAGTTTCTGAACAAATATTTGTTTCATAAATGGATCACAACATTGAAAAACAACAGTGAATATATCTAGTGGACTGATGTTTTGATAGATATCTGGTATTTCTGACATGCATGATAATGAGTCCTCTAGGTTTAAACTATTGTCAGAATTGTCGTCTTCTGACAACCTGATGTCTCTTGATTCGCTATGAGCACACATCAGTCGCTTCAAAACCAACCACGGGATGTCGGTTAATGATAACTTCCCATGCATCTGCTCGATGTTTTCGTTTGGATCAACTGCTATGACATCTAGAATAGATATTTTTCCAGGATATTTGTCTGTCAATCCAAGCTTTTGAAGTATTTGATGAATATGGGATTCAGTTTCTGTAGAATCTACGAAAAATTAAACCACATACCGTATATCTTATTCTGAATAAAAATACAAAAGTTCAATAAAATAAATTTACGTGTGAAAATTTATTACACCAAAAGACAAAAAAGATAGGAAACCTTCTTAACAAGTTTTATAAGTAGCAAATAATGCAGAACTAGTTTAGAGCAAATGCAAACGCCATCGATGTTAAGAATTTAAGGACTACTGTAACAATTAAAGGTTACAGTTAAAAAATTCAGCAAATACAATAAAATCATGGTCATCCAGAAAAAAACAGATTTTAAGAATTTACTTTTTCATTATCATCGGACAGGCTGAGGTTAAAAAAATAGCCTTGATTTGATTTTTAAATGTACTCGATAACATCACAGTAATTTGTAGTGGGTGAAATAAGAAATGAAGTTACAATAAAATAATATCCAACAGAACAAATCCACTTTATTACCTCTTGACTTTGAAGAATCCGGCCTTTTAAGATCACCTTCGACCTGCTCACAATCAGCAGTGTCAGCAGCAGCAGATTCTGAAAGAATTTAGATGAAAAGATTTATGAAATGAAGTTTTTTCATTTATCTAAACCTTGGATACCAGTAACTTTTCAATATTATTTCGAACATATTGTTCAGCAGGACAAACAAAAAATCTAGTAAACTTCCGATTCCAATGTTCAGCTTCAAAATCAACATTTGGCTGAGAATGTGATATTCATTAGTTTGAAACATAATTTCAAACCGAATATAAGTCTAGACAATCAATGATAGCAACTCATTCAAGATTATCTATGTAGAGGTAGGCAAAAGACATTTAGTTGAAAGTTCAACATTCGTAAGTATTCAATATAATTTAAAAACTAATGATAAGCTAACTACAATCAGCCACGCATATCAAATTTCCAATGTTGATCTGGACAATCGACATTCATCTCAATTATGCGTTTTCTAAGTTTTAAATATAATATCAAAACGAATGTTGAGCTAGACAATCAACAATCAGCTCAAATTACTCGCGTATATAACGGAAAGTGATGTAAACAGCCGTAATACATATACAGTGGTCAACTGATAAAATCAGATGTCTTTATACAAATCTGGAATTAGGAGACCCTTGAAACTTTTCTTTCTGACAAGGTTAAAATAATTACAAAAAGGTAAGAAAGTCAGCTTAGTATCTAAGAATAATAGTAACGATTTAAAAAATAAATTGTATAAATATTTTATAAGAAACTGTCATAGGTCTGACAAGAATGCCTGCACGCATAACAGGATGATATTGTTCAGACAACCACAGTTGTTTGTCTGGCAAACAACGAAATGCATTTGCATACATGGATCGTTGTTTGGAGCGATAAGAGGTGAGGTTAAAAACGTCCTTCGGACTGATTTAATAATTTAGGTATTATATTTCAACACATAATCAATCTAGGATTGATAAGTTGATTTTATCTCTAAGAAAGTAAAACGAAATTATTTTCTTTTGACATTGCGTATTTTTTAAAACGACTCGTGTTTTGATTTCCTTAAATGATTATAAACAACAAGAATTCAGCCTTTTTACTATTCAATGTTCAATTTAATGTAAGCTAATATTAAAGCTTAATTTATTATCTGTATTTAATTTTCATATCTATATTTTTGTCAGATTAAAAATCTGATTTGAATTATAGTTTGTGATCATAAAGATATGACTCAGAAACAAGAATATTTGCAGCTTCAGGCTTTAAAGCAAATCTGTATTTCTTTTTGAAATTACACACAAACGAAAGTAACTATGAGGAATTATAGAAGAATATAGAATATTTTAAACTTTACATAATTCAGCACACCCGCACGCACGCACACACACACTCTCACACACTGTTATTTTTGTAACCATGTAAGGATGTGTATTATATTTTAAAAAATAAAATCTTTTTTTTTTTTAATTATGTTTTTTTGCTAGAAATATTAGCCAAACGGTCCAAAATGACAAATTAGGTACTTGAAACAATTATATCCCCTTTATATGTGGGGGTATAATTATACGCATCGCATATCTCGTCCTTATGTTTCATAACTGCTGCATTTTTTAACGAATGATAGCACCCTTATTCAACTGAAGCGTTTGTAAATGATTGTTCAGTTAGTTACAAATTTGTGTCAAAACATCTAATGCAACTACGCCAAACAATAGTTTTTCCTTTAGACTATCCTATTATTTACAACATTTAATTTCAGATTCATCCTCGAAATAATTAAATACAAACTCAGTGGTAAAAATCTGTTTATACCATGGTTTTTCTTAAAACTAAACATTTATAATTCCTTATTAAAAAAGAAAGCAGATACATTTATTTCACGCCGAGCATCTTACTCTAAGTCTATTGTAATTATTTGATTGGTCATCGCTTAGATAATGATTGCCAATATTATTAAGTATACCTGACATAAATGTGCCCCTTCTTTATCTATGCAAGTTTTTCGGCGGGGCTTAAAATATAATTTTATTAATATTCACGATAACGTCAGCGGTCCGACGAAAAGGTATAATAGTGATCTCCTTGACGGGCACTATTTTGTCATTTTCGGACCGCCAAAAACTAGTGGTGATTTACCGAAAATAAGGTTTTACCAAACTCTTATTACACAAGCTAACTGCCACAATTGGATATTGAAATTTGTACTTAGCTAAGGGAAATAACTATAACAAAACAAAAAAAAATCCACGAGCAAAATCAAATGTGTTAAGCGTCACATGTTGATCGACATTGCTGTATATTTTCATGACTCTAGGTCAAATAATTGTTTTTGATTCGCACAACATATGTTGAAAATTGCATTCCTTTTCCTATAGCTAGTCAATGGCAATTACTCTACAAACACAGAATTTACCCACAAGCATACCCGAAGATGCACAACTCAAAATGCTGACCAACATTTCTAAAGGTTTTTATGTTTTTTGTGTAAAGACAATTATTATACAACACATGTGAGTTGTTGAATTTGGAAATGTACACCATGTATACTGGTAGCAAGATACCAAAAGCACGAAATGCAGGAGCACCTAAAACAGGTAGACAACCTGATTTAAATTCATCACTGTTCACTGCAAAATGCTTAACATCTTGCTAAATGACACATAAAATTGTAGCCCTAAATAAGAATTTCAAAGTGTTTTGAAAGCTTGAAAATTCTTTACGTGTATGTATTTTGTAATCGATCCTTTGAAAAATATATTTCAAAAGATTTTTCGGTTTCAATCATCAGGACCGAAAGTACATGATAATGGCTATTTAGTAACGTGTACATTCCCTAAGCCTTCGTGAAATAATCAGAACGTCAATGTGCGCAGTATGTTAACAAGCATCACTAAAGGTTTGTAGTGTCATTGCCAGCAGAAATCGTCGCATTTTTGACCTATTAAAGTAAACACAATTTCAAACACTGTAAGATAGCAAACACAGCGCAATGAGGTATCCTTCAACGATCCGATTATTTTGCGTACGGGAGCAAAGATCGCAGAGTGAATGGATTGAAAGCTTCCACTGAGTTTGGGAGGCAGTTTCGGTGTTGTCATTATTTTCTTACCGCACGTGTGCGCATAGTTTAGCAAAAATATGTTAAACTTTGCATGATTAAGGAAACCCATTGATGAAAAATATGGAGAACAAATGGCGCTCACGGTCCTACATTTTTTGTAAACTGACCATGGAGGCCTTTTCTTTAGATAGTAAGAAGCTGAAAAAAACAATTGAAAAACAGTTAACTATGCTAACCGGAAAACCTGCCCCAGTGTTATTCTTGACAGGGGCCATAACGTGATGTCGCACAAACAACTAAAGAATATAATATTTTGTACGGAATGTTGTTATTTCGAAAGCAAAGAAACAGTTCTGAATAAGTCTTGATATAAATTTATGCTGTTTTGCAATTTCTGGATGTTCCGCATACGTTATTATGTATTCGTAAGTTAAGTAAATCGATACTTCTGATAGAAATAATGTGCCAATGCTTAAAACACTAGAAAACACAATAAAACGTGATTTAAATACCTTACACCAATCTCAAAAATCTATCATTTTTCTCTGTCACTAGTAACAGTGAGATATTTCAAATGAGTCTTAACAACAGTTAATGAAATTTCATAGAAAAAAAAATTCTCACTCACTTAAATAGACCTATGTTGTACTTATAAAAAGGGAAAATATCCAGCTCAGTTCAAAACCTTGTTTGATACTTCTTTGTCGCCAAAACATTATTAACTTCCGTAACAGTTATTGAACTTTGTTTATGAAAGGTATGTACCAGCAATAATGTCGTGTTTTTGGGATTAAATACCAGATAATTTTGTTTGAAGTTGTTAAATTACCCTTAAATGTTATCAAAAGTACTAAGTCGAGCATCATAGCCCATCACACAGTTTCCATTGAGAAAAACAGAATCTTCTTTTAACTTCCGTTACCAAAAGTTTATAATTATCCATTATGATGTTTAATATGTTATATAATATCTTGGACTACGGGTACATTACCTGAAACGATTTTCACGTAAATATCAAAGTGTCTGTTCGATAAAATATTAGAAACACTTTAACCCTTTCCCTCATGAGCATATTGTAAAAATGGCCGTTTTCATTGAAAAGCCTCCTGTTACAAGTTCAAACTGCTATGAAACTATGAAAAATGCTTCAATACTAATCAAACTTGGCACAAATGTTGACTGGGCCATTGCTTTTGTAACGACATGCTCAGTTTTAAATTTCCTGTTACCATGGCAACGAGGGGACATCTCAAAATTGCCAAAAATCACTATTTTGCCTCGATTTTTTCCATCAAAATTTATTTCAAAGTGCTGCAACTTTTCAAGGGATTGAGATAGAGTCAAAGGCCCTTCAGCGTTGGTTACACGTTACCTTATGACCTGGGGTAATTTTTAGCCTCTCACAAGTCCGAAATTTTCTTGGCGATGAGGGGGACTACCGACCCCCTTCAAACCCCCCAAACAGAAGGGGCACACCCCACTTATCATTATATATTCACCCAACGTTTGCGAGATTGTTAAAGCCACCGATGCTGTAAAAATCGTTAAATCGTGCGGCGCCTGTTTTATTTGTGACCTAAGCATAAACAGATTTGAATATATTCTTAGCATAGTTAAGTACATGTGTATTAACATTGTATGACATTTCCCACCTTGTGACATCAGATTTGCAGCCAACAATTATCTCGCGTTATCGCAACAGGCGGCTAAATGGGGACAAATACTTGAATCTTTGCATTGTTTCTTATTTCCAGCAGATGAGATGGATTTTACCCCTGAGGTTGCTTTAAGTAAACAACTAACAATGTTCAATTCCAAATTTGCAAACTGTCCATCATACAGTGCTACGCTCCTACAAACTATGTGGATGAAGAAGACGAAAATGATTTTTATAACCAGTTACAAACAGTTTTTGACAAAGTTCCTCAATATGACATTGAACTTGTCACTGGAGACCTCAATGCCAAAGTGGGTTCTGACAACACAAACATAGAACAGAGTATTGGAAAA